ACAGACAGAAGTTGGCAGATCAGCTGTACCTACTTCAGAGGAGTCCCAAGAAGCTTGTGGGGGTTGTAGAGCAAAACGGAGAACACCATTGTGTTCGTGAGAGTCTCATCTTTCCATAATAGTTAGTAGGCCGAACCGTTCGGGCGCTACATACGATTTTTGGGATGTCTCATGGTCTGACAAACACCGCTCTTGCTGTGTCACTTATCACGGCAGATGCGAAAATGCAACATAGGCTGATGTGGTGGATTGAGACGCATCCAATGCGCGGACATCGATCTATTAGTGTATTATAAGGTTGTAACATTGATTGAATGTTGATTTCTCTCGCTAGATGGCGCAGAAGAGCAAGTGAATACTTGTTTTACATGTCTCTTGCAGTGCTGCTGGGTAGTAGAGGCTGACAAGATACCGTCATTGCTCTGAAAATATTGGAGAACATTTAGGTCTATCAGTTCTCTATGAAAGAACCAGTACTGGTGAAAAATAAAGACAGTAAAGTGCACACACCTGCACTTGGGAGGAAGCTGACAGATATACACAATTTATCTTTAAGAAGGGTGGTGTGTGGGCGCGAGGTAATTTACGGGGCTAACGTGTTACTGTAGCTAGCTGGCTGTTGCCACTTAGTTTGCAGCTGTTGCCTTGTAGCTTGAGCTAGCTAGCTGAGTAGCAAAGGTTAGCAAGCCCACTAGCTATCTTGGTTGCACAAATGGTGAGTACTGTTTATGCCATTTTAATATAGAAAACCAACTAAGCAACAGGCTTCCATCTATGCTTGACTTGCATGCATTTGTCTTTGATTTGTTTTAGCTAGCTAACGTTAGCTGGCTACCCCAGGTTAACGTGAACTAGAGACAACAGGTAGTTAGCTAACTGGACTTGGGAGGAAGCTAACTAACGTTAGCTAATTGAGCTTATACAGATTCTAGCATGCTAACCAACTCGTGTAAAATTATTTACGTAACGTGCTTGTTAGCTAGGTATGGCCTAAATGCTAGCTAGGGAACGTTAGATGGCTAAGATTGTTTTTGTGTAGAGTGCGTGGTTGCTTGACAACCGAAATTAAAGAGACAGCGAGCCATTTTTGGCGAGCTAGTTAACGACGTTAGCTAGCTAGCTAGCTAGCTATCATACTTTGCCAGTAATATGATTAGATGATATTACAACAGCATGACTAGTTACCGTTGAGTGAAATATGGCCCAAGTTAAACTGTCTGTAGTTAACGTTAGACTTGTTGGGCTGTTTTGTCGAGTCCAAAATGCTGCTACTAGATAGCTACCTAGCCAGCCAGCTGACTTTAGCTAAATGTTTACAATTCAAGACATTGCTTGCTAACGTCAACAACATCACTATATAACCATTTCGCTGACATTGACGTTACTATTTACTACCTAGGTAACGTTATACTCTCACCCAGTTATCATAAATGACTACATTGTAAGTGTTATACTGTGTGCAAGTTGCAAGTACATTTGAGCTGTATTATTAGAAATTGTTTCATTGTGTCACTGTCACTTTCACAGTCAGCCTGTATTATAAATGGAGATGGATAATGAACTTAAGAAATTCATCCAGCAGCAGAAGGCCAGAGTGGCAGAGGATACAGAATCCACTTTACCTGGAAATAAGGGTGTGTTTCAATGTTCCTTTTTACTGTGGTGATAGAATGCTGAAAATGTTGGACTTGGGTCATTCCATGTCATTTCAGCAAGCCGTGACACTCACCATCTCAGATTGTTCTGAAATCGTTTTTGTAGTTATAAACAGATAAGATGTGCATTCTGGAAGCATTATTTTGTTTAAATATAATTTGAATGCTAAGAAATTAAGATAATAGATTACACTCAAACTGGCCATTTTAATTTATAGGATTCATATAATGTTCAGTAATTACCTTGCATCCAATTTGGACCAAACTTTTTTCTAACAATGAGTAAGACATGAGGAATCCAAATAAATGGTAAAAAGCCATCCACTGACCCCCACGCCAATCCCACCCTAACAACGAGTATATAGTATATGTTCTCTATGTTTGACAAGTAGTATGGAGCTACGGCTTGGAGTATATGTTACTTCATCCTATCTAATGTATTCTCAGTGAATTTGATGATGTCCCCCCGTTCATAGAAATTATTAATTTAAGTCGTTGGGTTTTATGGTTTCATTGGTTTTAGCCAAGTACATTTCTATGGCAACGAATCCTTCAAGACTAACCAAAGTGAAAACAGGTTTTTAGAAATGTTAACAATAAAAAATTAAATGAAAAAACAGATACCTTATTTAGATAAATATTCAGACCCTTTGCTATGAGACTCGAAATTGAGCTCAGGTGCATCCTGTTTCCATTGATCATCCTTGACATTTTTCTACAACTTGATTGGAGTCCACCTGTGGTAAATTCAATTGATTGGACATGATTTGGAAAGGCACACATCTGTCTATTTAAGGTCCCACAGTTGATAGTGCATGTCAGGGCAAAAACCAAGTCATGAGGTCGAAGGAATTGACCATAGAGCTCCGAGACAGGATTGTGTCGAGGCAAAATAAGTTTGGAACCACAAAGACTCTTCCTAGAGCGGCCGCCCGGCCAAACTGAGCATTCGGGGGAGAAGAGCCTTGGTCAGGGAGGTGATCAAGAACCCGATGGTCACTCTGACAGAGCTCCAGAGTTCCTCTGTGGAGATGGGAGAACCTTCCAGAAGGACAACCATCTCTGCAGCACTCCACCAATCAGGCCTTTATGGTAGAGTGGGCAGACGGAAGCCACTCCTCAGTAAAAGGCACATGACAGCCTGCTTGAAGTTTGCTAAAAGGCACCTAAAGGACTCTCAGACCATGAGAAACAAGATTCTCTGGTCTGATGAAACCAAGATTGAACTCTTTGGCCTGAATGCCAAGCGTCACGTCTGGGAGAAACCTGGCACCATACCTACGGTGAAGCATGGTGGTGGCAGCATCATGCTGTGGGGATGTTTTTCAGCGGCAGGGACTGGGAGACTAATCAGGATAGAGGGAAAGATGAACGGAGCAAAGTACAGCGATCCTTGACGAAAACCTCCTCCAGAGTGCTCAGGACCTCAGACTGAGGCGAAGGTTCACCTTCAAACAGTACAACGACCCTAAGCACACAGCCAAGACAATGCAGGAGTGGCTTCGGGACAAGTCTCTGAATGTCCTTGAGTGGCCCAGCCAGAGCCCGGACTTAAACCCGATCAAACATCTCTGGAGAGACCTGTAAATAGCTGTGCAGTGACACTCCCAATCCAACCTGACAGAGCTTGAGAGGATCTGCAGAGAAGAATGGGAGAAATTCCCCAAATACATGTGTGCCAAGCTTGTAGCGTCATACGAGGGTCTAAACGCTGCCAAAGGTTCTCCAACAAAGTACAGAGTAAAGGGTCTGAATACTTATGTAAATGTGAAATTTCAGGTTTTATTTTTATAAATGTGCAAACATTTATAAACCAGTTTTTCTTTGTCATTATGTAATGAAACAATGTGGAAAAAGTCAAGGGGTCTGAATACCTTCCGAATGCACTGTAGGAATCATTGACTTGCATTGGATTTGTGGCACAAACACTAAAAAGTTAGCATTTGAAACAGTGACCAGGTAAACAAAACCAACGCATGTGTTGCTGTCATACTAGAGGGGTATCCTACGAAGCAAGCTAGATCTACTCAGGGTTTTCTAAAGCTAACCAGCTTCAGTTAGCTTCACATTCCAGATCAGGCTTCATCCGTACTACGACGATGGATATTGCTCGTCTGTCTGCCGCTAACTCTAGCAGGCTTGTAACTGCGCACGCATGTCGGACATGGGTAGTGAAACGCCAAACTCTTCATTGAGACAATGCTGAAACATAAATCCACGGTACCACATTTACATTTGTGCCGAAATCAAAATGAAAGAAAATATATTTTGCAAATTCAGCAGGCTATGGTGTGAAATAGGCTTTTTGAAGTGCTGCCTTTATTTTATTAACATTAATGCAGACTTTGGTGTGCTTATCAATGCACAACCACAAGCACCTTTTTCCCCACTCCTATCAATAAAATACTTTTAAGGTATACAAAAGGATTAGTGTGTGAAGTGTAAAATGCGTTCTGTCATTGCTAAATGTGTAATGTGATATATTTTAACGCTACAATTTTGTTACACACAAGACAATTTTGATTAAAATATTTTAATCGTCTTCTTCCTCAAATGAAGGGGATGATGACGTTATCTTTGCAGGAGGGAGGGAATCTGATTGAATTGGTCCTCAGCTCGTGGCTGTCATTTCATTCAGGGTAAGTGGAGTTAGCCTCCCCCGGAGCAGGTTAGTTCTGAAGGATTTGTTGCCACAGAAATGTACCTTGCTAAAAGGTGAGCCACTTTCATATGACCGGTTATACCGAGTTGAGCTCAGTTACCTCGCTTACTGCTCAAACTTGTTTCGGAGGATAGCCCTCTGGTCCATAGACTGCTTACAGGGTAAGAAAACCAACATGTAAATTGGGTGAACTATCCCTTTAACGAAGGGGGATTCATCAAAAAATAATCACATAGCAGGAACAGCACCAGGATGTAGGATGGGACATAAACCCAACAACTTCAATAACGAATTTCTCTGAACAGGGGAGACATTTTTTTGGGACCATTTCTTTGGATTCCTCATGTCTAACTCATTGCCAGAAAAAAGCGGGGTCCAAATCAGATGTTAGGGGCTATATTTATTCAATGTTATATGAATCCTATAAATTAACATGGCCAATTTGGGTGCAATCAATTAGGTTAATTTAGCAGAGATGAAATATAATTTAAACAAAGTAATGTTGCAGGAATGCTAAACTTATATTTTTCTGTCAACAGAAACGATTTCAGAACAATCTGAGATGGTGGGTGTCGAAGTCCTCTTTCTTGTGCTTTTTGAGATGGAATGACCCACTTGGACATGGGTGAAATGCATGCTACTTTGTGTTTGGCGACAGCTGAGCAAATTATTGCAATTTTCTGACCTGTGGCTGGATCAACAAACAAAAGATCACAAGACCTATGACCACACACTCAAGGAAAATATCCCTCCATTTACGTCGTCCACAGCACAAGGGAAAGGTACAGTATACACAGCATGTACAAAACATTAAGAAGACCCCCCCCCCTTAATTGAACCCAATTTGTAAGCACTTTGTGGTAGATCTAGATCCTGACCATTGGGAAGTATTTTATTTCATGTACACCGTCCTGTTTTTCAGAGAATAATTGTTGTCTAAGTTTACCTTTGGGTGAAGACTATGAGAGGAAGAAACAGAAGTTACATCAAGAGCTCCGTCTGGACTACAGACACTTCATGGCTCAGGTAATATTATTACCAATGCCAAAAGGTGTTATGTAGTTGTTACTTACAAATTTGTGTGTGCAATAAACAAGAACGTGCAGAGTCAGTGCAGTTTTCTACCAAATATATTTTTTAAAACAATGGTCTCTGCTTTGGGTTGATTTGACCAATTTGGCCCTTAATTATAGAAAAAAAATGTCAGTGCTGCTGAACCAGGCCCACTCCTCCCCCTTGTTGAGAGGAGAGCTGCTAAGGTAACCTAGGACATTCTATGTGTAGCCTATTTTATACCAAGCTCCGTCAACTGAGGCCGCTTAGAGTTCATTCCAACTAGCCAAATCAGACAGCCAACTTCTTATTCATCTTATATACACTGAGTATACCAAACATTAAGAATACCTGCTATTTCCATGACATAGACTGGCCAGGTGAATCCAGGTGAAAGCTATGATCGCTTATTGATGTCACTTGTTAAATCCATTCCAATCAGTGTAGATGAAGGGGAGGAGACAGGTTAAAGAAGGATTTTTAAGCCTTGAGACCACTGAGACATGGATTGTGTATGAGTGCCATTCAGAGGGTGAATAGGCAAAATAAAATATTTAAGTGCCTTTGAACAGAGTATGGTAGTAGGTGCCAGGTGAACCGGTTTGGGTCTAGAACTGCAACGCTGCTTTGTTTTTCATGCTCAACAGTTTCCCATGTGTATCAAGAATGGTCCACTACCCAATGGACATACAGCCAACTTGACACAACTGTGGGAAGCATTGGAGTCAACATGGGCCAGCATCCCTGTAGAACGCTTTCGACAACTTGTAGAGTCCATGCCCCATGGGGGGAGGGGGGCTGCGCAACTCAATATAATGTTTGGTATACTGAGTGTATATTATTACAAAAGGGCTGGTAAAACATGTCTCAGTAAATGAAGAGAATTTGCTCAATGTTTCTTCTGTAAAAAAGTTAAAAGGGTGCTTGGAACCAAAAGGTGATCATCTTAAACCTTTTCCCCCTCATACATTCAGGACCAGATTGCCTTTCTCAGAGCTCCTCCAGACCTCCCTGATGTTTACAACAGCCCCAGACCCCCGGTGCACCCTAAGAGGGCCCCCTCTAGGAGAGACGCAGCCACACTGACAGAAGGCAAGAGGGGGCTGCACAGGGGAGGAAGCTTCCTGGTGGAGGGCCTGTGGCCTGAGGATGAGCTGCTCCTTCCTAGAGAGAGGGCCAGGCTGGTGAGAGTGGACTATGACTCTGAGGAGGACCTCACAGAGGAAGATCTGGATCTTATGGAGAGGAGGAGGCGCAGACAGACGGGGTCTGAGAGAGGAGAAGAGAGGAGGCGGCTAAGAAGACACTACAAAACAGACTTCAGGTATTTTTAAATCACTCCCTTTGTGATACAAAGCATGATGTTTGAAAACGTATTGTTCATCTTACTCTTTTTGCGCAGGGACATATCAAGGCTCAGGGACAGGAGAGTTGAGCTGCCTGACGACTACACAGAGACGAGTCATTATGCAGACAGGAAGGAGACTAACGGGTCTGTTGTTCCTGATGAGGATTATTTAGAGGCACGCCAGGGGACATCATCTCCAACCCCCAAACCCAAGTACGTCAAACTATTAGTATTGAATAACAATACCTATAATTTTGATACCACAATCCTTTAGAAATGTATGTTAACACCAATTTGTTGTAGATTTTTAACGCAGTGCATTTTCTGTATGTAAAGTACATTTGTGTGAACTGACAAAATATCTAGTCTAATCTGGATTAAAGTTTTAATTTTCCATTGTCAGGGACATTGGATGGAAAAGTACAAATGAAATAGGGCTGATGTCATACTGTAATCTGTTGTGCCTGGATCATGGCTTGTTCAAGCTTCTTTAGAGATTTAGAATCCTCTCGTAAAATAAAATCATATGAAATCCCCAAACCAGCCTAAAATCAGACCCAAAAAACAGACAAACTTTCACAAAAACATTGAAGAATACTGAGCGATAAGTGTCTATCTGTAAAGTGTAAGTGTACTGTGAGTGCTGATTGACATCCTATCTGCCAGGCTGCAGGTACCAGCAGGGATGAGACCCAGTGGAAGATCCATATCCTCTACCAAGAAGGACGAGCCTGAATTTGCTACCGGACTAATGATTGGTAAGACCAATTCTGTTCAGATTTTTCTTCACTAAGGTTAACTACATTAGTTTATTTGTTGATATTTCTCAAAAAATGTGGTATGACATGAATCTGACAGGGGCTGAAGATGCAGATGCTGCCTTGCAGAGAAGGAAGGAGATATACAGGCAGGAGCTGCAGGAGCAGATAGCTGAACAGCAGAGGAATAAGAAAAGGTGGTTGTTCATGTCTGTTTGATCCTGCTGTATGTGAAGAAGAAACCCTTACATTATCCATCTTAGTGAGATGAGCTATAGGGTCTACATAGACTTATTTTAGCAGCATTGTAGTCTGAGGTAGATTTATTTATAAGGCTGCGTTTACACAGGCACCCCAATTCTGATCTTTTGCCAGTAATTGGTCTTTTGACCAATTAGATCAGATGTTTTGCCTAATAATTGGGCAAAAGATCAGAATTGGGCTGCCTGTGTAAGTGCAGCCTAAGATATTACTGCTGCTTACTAGTTTGAAGAACCTCATGAACAGTCTTATGTCCTTTGTCTTATTAGGGAGAAGGATTTGGAGCTCAGAGTTGCTGTGACAGGGGCGACTGACCCGGAGAAACAGGCAGATCGGATCAAACCGTTTGGAGCAGTGAATGGTGGCGACCATGCCAGAAAGAGAAAAGACAGCTGGTACCCACCAGGCCAAGGTGTGGACATACCAGGGGATGAGTTGAATAGGAGACCCAGTGAGGAGAACCGAGAGAGGCTTCCCCCTGAGCAGCCCCGCGTGGCCTTCCAGTCGCCCCTGCTGGAGTACAGCCACGCCCTGGGCCTCAGCAGTGGAGGCATCTCCCCTTACAGCCAGGCCATTCACAGGAGCATGGACACCCCCAGGTAGCTAAGAAGCAGTAATCCTCGTCTGTGTCCCAAATGGCACCCAGGCTCTGGTCCTCGAGTGGCGCAGCGGTCTAAGGCACTGCATCGCAGTGTAGTCTGAGGTAGATTTATTTATAAGGCTGCGTTTTCGATCCCAGGCTGTGTCACAGCCGGCCGTGACCAGGAGACCCATGAGGCGGCGCACAATTGGCCCAGCGTTGTCCAGGTTAGGGGAGGGTTTGGCCGGCCGGGATGTCCTTGTCTCTTCGTGCTCTAGCGACTCCTTGTGGCGGGCCGGGCGCCTGCAAGCTAACTTCGGTCTTCAGTTGGACGGTGTTTCCTCTGACACATTGGTGCGGCTGGCTTCCGGGTTAAGCGGACAGTGTGTTAACAAGCAGTGCGGCTTGGCAGGGTCGTGTTTCGGAGGACGCATGGCTCTCGACCTTCGCCTCTACCGAGTCCGTACGGGAGTTGCAGCGATGGGACAAGACTAACTACCAATTGGGGAGAAAAAGGGCTAAAAGTACAAAATTAAAATAAAGTGGTGAATTATATAGAAAATAGGGTGCCATTTGGGATACACACCTGATCTATTCAATCTGATTAATACACTAGATTGTTTGACAAAATTAAACATTGCTGTATGATTTTGAATTTCTGTTTCAGGATTCCAGGTTTCCTTCCTCATCCACCATCCACATTGGCAGATGCACAAAGAACTCCCTATGATGAGGCCCATCTCTACTATGGCGCAAGGAATCCACTGGACCCTAACCTGGCCAACTGTAAGCACTACCAGTCTGAATTGAATAGTCTAGCTACATTAGTAGATTCAAAGGGTTAAATACTAGTAAAAAAAGAGATTGATTGGAGTGAAAGCGTATGTTCTATGATCTAGCGTAATTTGTGTTTTGTGGTATTATATAATGTGCATTAGGCTACATATTTCATGTGTGTTAGCTAGGAAATGAGCCCATGTCATGTTGCTATACATTTAGAAAGAGGTGTACATTGGTTTGACTGAAAGTATGTTCATTAGTGTTTGGTGGTTCTATGTTAGATGGTCAGATCCCGCTGACAGGAGGGGGTCACCCTGTGTCCTACCTGAGCCTTCCTCCTGCAGGGCTTCATCCCAGCCAGATGGGTCAACACAGCCAGCACAGTGGGAGCAGCCATCCAGAGCCCCCTCCACAGTAAGTACCCTACTAGTCATCTGATCCTGTCTCTTCCCTTCAAAACCCACTCTTCAGTAAGTAAGCCTTGTCCGAGCCAAAGTGGCCCATAGGGTAGGAGCCTATCTCCTGTTTCTGTAGCATGAGGCAGCTTGATGTACAATTACCCCCTGGACAGGACGCTAGTCTCTTCAGGTGGTGAGTAGTATTCTCTATTCACCAGTAGAGTGTACCTCCTCTAAAGCTACCCTATCTGTGCCCTGTGTTGGACTTCTGAGAAGGTCATGCTCACTGGCCATCTGGACAGACAGGACTGTTGTTCCCTCCCTGCTGAGTGACTGCTGCAGCCTGCACTGGTCTGCTCTGGACACCTCTGATTTCTCCCTCGTCCCTCACATCTGCCCTCTTTCTCTCTCCCAATAACTGTCCTCTCTCTCACTCTCCCTTCTCCACTGTCTAAACGTCTTTTTCAGTGATAGAAGGAAATGCATCAATGTGACAAACCACATCAATTGTGTATCTCCTATTTGCCATACCTTTTTGTATAGTATTGATAATTTCAAATTGTTACAGAGATGCCTTTCATAGTAGTGAACACAAATGAATACATGAGTGAATTCATATTTAATCTCTCTTTCAGCAGACCTGCCAGTGACGCTGCTACCATGGGTTCAGGGATTGGAGTATTTCCCGCTGAGCAGATCAAGCCATCTAAAGAGAGTGTGATAAGTTACAAGGAGGCACTGAGACAACAGGTACATTTTGAATGTGATGGTGGAAGGCAGCAGTGTCTTTCTCCGCTATGCTTGCATGCATTTCGTCACAGTGTGCTATTTCTGCAGGGAGACACCAGGAAAGGGAGGGGTCAGCTTTTTTGCCAGGTAACATACAGTGAGGGAAAAAAGTATTTGATCCCCTGCTGATTTTGTACGTTTGCCCACTGACAAAGAAATGATCAGTCTATAATTTTAATGGTAGGTTTATTTGAACAGTGAGAGACAGAATAACAACAAAAAAATCCAGAAAAACGCATGTCAAAAATGTTATAAATTGATTTGCATTGTAATGAGGGAAATAAGTATTTGACCCCCTCTCAATCAGAAAGATTTCTGGCTCCCAGGTGTCTTTTATACAGGTAACGAGCTGAGATTAGGAGCACACTCTTAAAGGGAGTGCTCCTAATCTCAGCTTGTTACCTGTATAAAAGACACCTGTCCACAGATGCAATCAATCAAATCAGATTCCAAACTCTCCACCATGGCCAAGACCAAAGAGCTCTCCAAGGATGTCAGGGACAAGATTGTAGACCTACACAAGGCTGGAATGGGCTACAAGACCATCGCCAAGCAGCTTGGTGAGAAGGTGACAACAGTTGGGTGTGATTATTCGCAAATGGAAGAAACACAAAAGAACTGTCAATATCCCTCGGCCTGGGGCTCCATGCAAGATCTCACCTCCTGGAGTTGCAATGATCATGAGAACGGTGAGGAATCAGCCCAGAACTACACGGGAGGATCTTGTCAATGATCTCAAGGCAGCTGGGACCATAGTCAACAAGAAAACAATTGGTAACACACTACGCCGTGAAGGACTGAAATCCTGCAGCGCCCGCAAGGTCCCCCTGCTCAAGAAAGCACATATACAGGCCCATCTGAAGTTTGCCAATGAACATCTGAATGATTCAGAGGAGAACTGGGTGAAAGTGGTGGTCAGATGAGACCAAAATCGAGCTCTTTGGCATCAACTCAACTCGCCGTGTTTGGAGGAGGAGGAAGGCTGCCTATGACCCCAAGAACACCATCAAACATGGAGGTGGAAACATTATGCTTTTGGGGTGTTTTTCTGCTAAGGGGACAGGACAACTTCACCGCATCAAAGGGACAATGGACGGGGCCATGTACCGTCAAATCTAGGGTGAGAACCTCCTTCCCTCAGCCAGGGCATTGAAAATGGGTCGTGGATGGGTATTCCAGCATGACAATGACCCAAAACACATGGCCAAGGCAACAAAGGAGTGGCTCAAGAAGAAGCACATTAAGGTCCTGGAGTGGCCTAGCCAGTCTCCAGACCTTAATCCCATAGAAAATCTGTGGAGGGAGTTGAAGGTTCGAGTTGCCAAACATCAACCTCGAAACCTTAATGACTTGGAGAAGATCTGCAAAGAGGAGTGGAACATAATCCCTCCTGAGATGTCTGCAAACCTGGTGGCCAACTACAAGAAACGTCTGACCTCTGTGATTGCCAACAAGGGTTTTGCCACCAAGGACTAAGTCATGTTTTGCAGAGGGGTCAAATACTTATTTCCCTCATTAAAATGTAGATCAATTGATAACATTTTTGACGTATGTTTTTCTGGATTTTTTTGTTGTTATTCTGTCTCTCACTGTTCAAATAAACCTACCATTAAAATGATAGACTGATCATGTCTTTGTCAGTGGGCAAACGTACAAAATCAGCAGGAGATCAAATACTTTTTTCCCTCACTGTATAGGTAACTGCCATAATAATCGAAGTAAATTAGGGATACAAAGTATATTTAAAGCAGGTGCTTCTACACAGGTGTGGTTCCGGGGTATTAAGCAATTAACATCCCATCATGCTTAGGGTCTTGTATAAAAATGCTGGTCAGGCCATTATTTTAGCTACCATGGCTATGCCCCATAGCATTACAATTCCCCCATCCACAGGGCTTGAGTGGTCACTGAATGGTTTGATGAGCATGAAAACCATGTAAACCATATGTCATGGCCGTCTCAGTCACCAGATCTCAACCCAATTGAAAACTTATGGGAGATTCCTGAGACAGCGTTTTCCACCACCATCAACAAAACACCAAATGATGGAATTTCTCATGGAAGAATGGAGTCGCATCCTTCCAATAGAGTTCCAGACACTTGTAGAATCTATGCCAAGGCACGTTGAAACTGTTCTGGCGGCTCGTGGTTGCCCAACGCCCTATTAAGACACTTTATGTTGGTGTTTCGTTTATTTTGGCAGTTACCTGTAGAATCAGATTTTTTTTAAATTGTTTTTCTGAACCCATTCCCTCAGACATTCTCACAGCAATATACCAATAGGTATGCCTATCAATATACCATTTCACTCTTCTCTATTGTCCTCTTCGCGTGACCATTGAAGACAAAAGCACATCTGGGTTGTACAGAATCTAATAACTTTATTTTTCCTGTGAGGGAACTTCATTTTTAGATAATTGGTATTCTAATGAAAGTGTTCCATCCAAACCTGACTTCAGATCCAGGATAGACAGGAGCGGCGGAGGTTGGACAGGGAGGAGAGGGATCGCTACGAGGCCAAGCTGGAGGCTGACATGAAGAACCACGAGCCCTGGGGGAGAGGAGGAGGAGGAGCACCTCTCAGAGACAGCAGGGGCAACCTCATCAGTATGTTCTCTCTGCTACTTCCCTCCCTCCACACTATGGTCCACATATTCTCTTTGTTTTCTCACCTTTCAGTAGGTATATACTACCAGTCAAAAGTTTACTCATTCAAGGGTTTTTCTTTATTCTTACTATTTTTTACATTGTAGAATAATAATGAAGACATCAAAACTATGAAAAAACACATGGAATCATGTAGTAACCAAAAAAGTGTTAAACATATCAAAATATATTTTAAATTTGAGATTCTTCAAAGTAGCCACCCTTTACCTTGATGACAGCTTTGCACACTCTTGGCATACTCTCAACCAGCTTCATGAGGTAGTCACCTGGAATGCATTTCAATTAACAGGTGTGCCTTCTTAAAAGTTAATTTGTAGAATTTATTTATTTCTTAATGTGTTTGAGCCAATCAGTTGTGTTGTGACAAGGTAGGGGGAGTATACAGAAGATAGCCCTATTTGGTAAAAGACCAAGTCCATATTATGGTAAGAACCGCTCAAATAAGCAAAGAGAAATGACAGTCCATCATTACTTTAAGACATGAAGGTCAGTCAATACGGAACATTTCAAGAACTTTGAAAGTTTCTTCAAGTGCAGTCGCAAAAACCATCAAGCGCTATGAAACTGGCTCTCATGAGGCATGCCACACGAATGGAAGACCCAGAGTTACCTCTGCTGCAGAGGATAAGTTCATTAGAGTTACCAGCCTCAGAAATTGCAGCCCAAATAAATGCTTCAGAGTTCAAGTCACATACACATCTAAACATCAACTGTTCAGAGGGGACTGTGTGAGTCAGGCCTTCATGGTCGAATTGCTGCAAAGAAGCCACTACTAAAGAACACCAATAAGAAGAAGAGACCTGCTTGGGCCAAGAAACACGAGCAATGGACATTAGACCGGTGGAAATGTGTCCTTTAGTCTGGAGTCCAAATTTGAGATTTTTGGTTTCAACCACCGTGTCTTTGTTAGACGCGGTGCGGGTGAACGGATGATCTCTGCATGTGTACTTCCCACCGTAAAGCATGGAGGAGGAGGTGTTATGTTGTGGAGGTGCTTTGCTGGTGACACTGTCTGTGATTTATTTAGAATTCAAGGCATACTTAACCAGCATGGCTACCACAGCATTCTGCAGCGATGCGCCATCCCATCTGGTTTGGGCTTAGTGGGACTATCATTTGTTTTTGAACAGGACAATGACCCAACACACCTCCAGGCTGTGTAAGGGCTATTTTACCAAGAAGGAGAGTGCTGCATCAGATGACCTGGCCTCCACAATCACCCGACCTCAACCCAATTGAGATGGTTTGGGATGAGTCGGACGGCAGAGTGAAGGAAAAGCAGCCAAAAAGTGCACAGCATATGTGGGAATTCCTTCAAGACTGTTGGAAAAGCATTCCAGGTGAAGCTGGTTGAGAGAATGCCAAGAGTGTGCAAAGCTGTCATCAAGGCAAAGGGTGGCTATATATTTTGATTTGTTTTCAACACTTTTTTGGTTACTACATGATTCCATATGTGTTATTTCATAGTTTTGATGTCTTCACTATTATTCTACAATGTAGAAAATAGTAAAACAATTCAGAAAAACCCTTGAATGAGTAGGTGTGTCCAAACTTTTGACTTGTACTGTATATTTGGAGACTGAGCGCAGAGGAAAGAATGTGTAATGTTTTAGAACCTTTGTAAAGATTATTACTTATGGTAATTGTGTGAATTGTCACTAGCCGATCTGCACCAGATGCACAAGCATAATGAGGAGGCCTACATCAACCCTGAGACATGGCAGAAGATGGCGACAGCCACCATGACAGTACTCCGAGAGGAGGACACTACTAGACCTCCCTCCACCCACAGAGTCTCAGGTAGATACAGGGGCTTTCACATTGATGTGATTCTCTATCAGGAGTCTATATAAGGCATATGCAACAGGACAGAGGAAAGCTGCGCCCCAAATGGCACCTTATTCTGTACATAGTTCACTACTTCTGACCAGAGCCCTATGGGCCATTTAGGACACAACCCAAAGTGGTAGTGGCACTCTCGCCAACCTGTCCAACACACTGTGTCAGGCTCAGCTAACATGTTATTTTGTCTGGTGTGTTTCTCTGTCAACAGGTTTTGTTCAGGCTCCTTTGTTTGCCAGAGGCAGTGTTTTTGGTAACCGGCCCACACCACAGCAAGTCCACGAACAGGACAAGCACAAGGCTTACCTCAAACAACAGGTACTGGATGTCACCCCTCGGTACTGTGTGGCTAAAATAGTATTTTCACATTATCAGCTGAAATTAACCTTCCCCTAAATCACGTAAAAAAGCTTATTGTAGAGTTTAAATCAAACGTTGTTCTGATGCACATTGATGGTTTGGTGATATGTGATTGGATACACATACACACTCAGTGATGACCCTGGTTGTCTGTCCTGCTGCCTAGATTGAAGAGAAGCGGAGGAAGGAGGCGGAGGAGCGAGAGAGCCAGAGGCTGGAGGAGGAGAAGGAGGAGAAGAGGCTGGCTGAGCAGAGGGAACGCATCCAGAGAGAGTATGAAGAAGAACAGGACAGGAAGAAACGCAAGGAGATGGAGGTCAGTATTAACTGGACCAGGGCTTGGATTCAGTAAGGGGGCTTTAGCATTAGATTACACTGCAATTATCTACTATACTACTGCAATACTCTATGGAACACTAGTCACTTTAATAATTATTACATATCTTGCATTACTCATCTCATATGTATATACTGTATTCTATACTATTCTACTGTATCTTAGTCCATTCCACTCTGTCATTTGCTCGTCCATATGTATATATTCTTAATTCCATTCCTTACTTAGATTTGTGTGTATTGGGTATATGTTGTGAAATTGTTAGATATTTCTTGTTAGATATTACTGCACTGTCGGAGCTAGAAGCACAAGCATTTCGCTACACCCACAATAACATCTGCTAAACAGGTGTACGTGACCAGTAACATTTGATTTGATGCTAATATGAGTGTAACATTACTATCAGCTGAATGGTATCGTATGACATGAGTCATTCAGTTCAGTAAATGTTTATTGTAACACACACCACATTTCAGGGGACTGAACAAGGTTTTTCTCCCTCCAGCAAAAAGCAAAGAATGAGCAGCTGAGCCGTCTGGCTGAGGAGCGAAAGAAAGAGGCAGAGAGAAAGAAGAAAGAGGTAGAGGAGAAGGAGAACTCTGCCCTGAGGAAGCAGTATGAGAAGGAGAGACAGGCTCGTCTAGAGGAGGTGAGCTGACTGGAAAACGCTCAGTTTGACCCTCTGAACATCGAGGGGCGGGTGGTTTACTGTACACACATTAAGCCTATTCCTGGACTAGAAAGCATGCTCAATGGAACATTTCCATTTAAAGCACTCCACTTAATCTGTGTCTGGGAAACTGAGTTCAAATCAAATGTTATTTGTCAAATACACGTGTTTAGCAGATGTTATTGTGGCTGTAGCGAAATGCTTGTGCTTCTAGCTCCAACAGTGCAGTAATATCTAACAATTTCGCAACATATACCCAATACACACAAATCTAAGTAAGGAATGGAATTTAAGAATATATACATATGGACAAGCAATGACAGAGGGGCATGGACTAAGATACAGTAGAATATTATAGAATAGAATGTAGTATATACATATGAGATGAGTAGTGCAAGATATGTAAACATTATTAAAGTGACTAGTGTTCCATTTCTTAAAGTGGCCAGTGATTTCAATAGGCAGCAGCAGACTCTAATGTGCTAGTGATGGCTATTTAACAGTCTGATGGCCTTGAGATAGAAGCTGTTTTTCATTCTCTTGGTCCCAGCTTTGATGCACCTGTACTGACCTCGCCTTCTGGATGATAGCGGGGTGAGGGTGGTTGATGTCCTTGATGATCTTTTTGGCCTTCCTGTGACATCGGGTCCTGTAGGTGTCCTGGAGGGCGGGTAGTTTGCCCCCGGTAATGCGTTCGGCAGACCGCATCACCCTCTGGAGAGCCCTGCGGTTGCAGGCGGTGCAGTTGCTGTATCAGGCGGTGATACAGCCTGACAGGATGCTGTCAATTATGCATCTGTAAAAGTTTGTGATGGTTTTAGGTGCCAAGCCAAATTTCTTCAGCCTCCTGAAGTTGAAGAGGCTCTGTTGCGCGTTCTTCACCACACTGTCTGTGTGGGTGGACCATTTCAGTTTGTCAGTGATGTGTACGCCAAGGAACTTGAAGCTTTCCACCTTCTGCACTGCAGTCCCGTCGATGTGGATAGGGGGGGTGCACCCTCTGCTGTTTCCTGAAGTCCACGATCATCTCCTTTGTTTTGTTGACGTCGAGAGGTTATTTTCCTGGCACCACACTCCCAGAGCCCTCACCTCCTCCCTGTAGGCGATCTCGTCATTGTTTGTAATCAAGCCTATTACTGTTGTCGTCTGCAAATGTGCTTGGCCACGCAGTCATGTTTGAACAGGGAGTACAGGAGGGGGCTGAGCACGCACCCTTGTGGGGCCCCAGTGTTGAGGATCAGCGAAGTGGAGGTGTTGTGTCCTACCTTCACCACCTGGGGGGCGGCCTGTCAGGAAGTCCAGGACCCAGTTGCACAGGGCGGGGTTCATACCCAGGGCCTCAAGCTTAATGATGAGCTTGGAGGGTACTATGGTGTTGAATGCTGAGCTATAGTCAATGAACAGCATTCTTACATAGGTATTCCTCTTGTCCAGATGGGATAGGGCAGTGTGATGGCGATTGCATCGTATGTGGATCTATTGGGACGGTAAGCAAATTGAAGTGGGTCTAGGGTGACAGGTAAGGTAGAGGTGATATGATCCTTGACTAGTCTCTCAAAGCACTTCATGATGACAGAGGTGATTGCTACAGGGCGATAGTCATTTAGTTCAGTTACCTTTGCTTTCTTGGGTACAGGAACAATGGTGGCCATCTTGAAGCATGTGGGGACCGCAGACTGGGATAGGGAGAGATTGAATATGTCCGTAAACACACCAGCCAGCTGGTCTGTGCATGCTCTGAGGATGCGGCTAGGGATGCCATCTGGGCCGGCAGCCTTGTGAGGGTTAACATGCTTAAATGTCTTACTCACGTCGGCCATGGAGAAGGAGAGCCCACAGTCCTTGGTAGTGGGCCGCGTCAGTGGCACTGTGTTATCTTCAAAGCGGGCAAAGAAGGTGTTTAGCTTGTCTGGAAGCGAGACGTTGATGTCGGCGACATAGCTGGATTTCCTTTTGTAGTCTGACTGTAGACCCTGCCACATACGTCTGGTGTCTGAGCTGTTGAATTGCGACTCCACTTTGTCTCTATACTGTTGTTTTGCCAGTTTAATTGCCTTGCGGAGTGAATAGCTACACTGTTTGTATTCTGCCATATTCCCAGTCACCTTGCCATGGTTAAATGCGGTGGTTCTTGTTTTCAGTTTTGCTGGTGAGTTACCGCCGCTCTGATATCCAATAGTTTTTCCCGGCTGTATGTAATGATACAAAACACTTTCTGAGCTAATAATGTAAAAAATTATATATACAGTGAGGGGAAAAAAGTATTTGACCCCCTCTCAATCAGAAAGATTTCTGGCTCCCAGGTGTCTTTTATACAGGTAACAAACTGAGATTAGGAGCACTCTCTGAGATTAGGAGCACTCCCTTTAAGAGTGTGCTCCTAATCTCAGCTTGTTGCCTGTATAAAAGACACCTGTCCACAGAAGCAATCAATCAATCAGATTCCAAACTCTCCACCATGGCAAAGACCAAAGAGCTCTCCAAGGATGTCAGGGACAAGATTGTAGACCTACACAAGGCTGGAATGGGCTTCAAGACCATCGCCAAGCAGCTTGGTGAGAAGGTGACAACAGTTGGTGCGATTATTCGCAAATGGAAGAAACACAAAATAACTGTCAATCTCCCTCGGCCTGGGGCTCCATGCAAGATCTCACCTTGTGGAGTTGCAATGATCATGAGAACGGTGAGGAATCAGCCCAGAACTACACGGGAGGATCTTGTCAATGATCTCAAGGCAGCTGGGACCATAGTCACCAAGAAAACAATTGGTAACATACTACGCCGTGAAGGACTGAAATCCTGCAGCGCCCGCAAGGTCTCCCTGCTCAAGAAAGCACATATACATGCCCGTCTGAAGTTTGCCAATGAACATCTGAATGATTCAGAGGAGAACTGGATGAAAGTGTTGTGGTCAGATGAGACCAAAATGGAGCTCTTTGGCATCAACTCAACTCGCCGTGTTTGGAGGAGGAGGAATGCTGCCTATGACCCCAAGAACACCATCCCCACCGTCAAACATGGAGGTGGAAACAATATGCTTTGGGGGTGTTTTTCTGCTAACTTCACCGCATCAAAGGGACGATGGACGGGGCCATGTACCGTCAAATCTTGGGTGAGAACCTCCTTCCCTCAGCCAGGGCATTGAAAATGCGTCGTGGATGGGTATTCCAGCATGACAATGACCCAAAACACACGGCCAAAGCAACAAAGGAGTGGCTCAAGAAGAAGCACATTAAGGTCCTGGAGTGGCCTAGCCAGTCTCCAGACCTTAATCCCATAGGAAATCTGTGGAGGGAGCCACCAAGTACTAAGTCATGTTTTGCAGAGGGGTCAAATACTTATTTCCCTCATTAAAATGCAAATCAATTGATAACATTTTTGACATGCGTTTTTCTGGATTTTTTGGTTGTTATTCTCTCTCACTGTTCAAATAAACCTACCATTAAAATTATAGACTGATAATTTATTTGTCAGTGGGCAAACGTACAAAATCAGCAGGGGATCAAATACTTTTTCCCTCACTGTATTAAAAATAAATAAAATACCGCAAAGTTTCCTAAGAGCTAGTCGCGAGGCTGCCATCTTCGTCGGCGCCAGGATAGGTTTGAGAGTGATGACATTGTGGTTGTCTGTCTGAAGGTACCAAGGGAGCCGTCTCCCCCCATCCCCACCCTCCAGAAGAGGTATCAGGCTCCCCAGTACACCCCCAGACCTCCGTCCATGGACAGCCGTCGCTCTACTGCCGTCCCCCTGTCTGTGAGTGACTTCCAGAGCCCACAGCATGTCCTCTTCCACACTACCATGGAGGGAAATAGTTTTGACTGTGAGGAGATATTAGTGGAGAAGAATGACTGGGTCTGGTGTTCCTCCCTCTCTTCCCCCTGTAGGAGCGTTCTCTATCAGGGCTCCAGTCCCCTCCAGTCCCAGCCCGCAGGAACCAGCTGAGAGCTGCCGGTAACACTGACTCCCACAATAATACAATGCATAATAGTTTTAAAAAACGATTTTTCTCTCAACTTCTGTGATACTGATGTCTGTCTGTCTGTGCGTGCCAGAGGACCAGCGGGGTGTGATCAGTGAACTGTCAGTTCTGCGCAGACGGCTGCGGAGCGAGCAGAAACGTCTGGAGGTCCAGCTGTTGCAGTCAGAGTGGGAGGAGCTGGACTCACCTATGAGTGACAGGTAAGGCTGGTGAGGTGATGCCCTCCACTGTTGGTCTCATGGCTTCAGCAAGCCAAGGGTCCAGGCTGTGTTAGTTGTAGTGTCCTGTCTCCTGGCTGACCGATACTGTGTCCAGACACAGGGACCGGGAGCGGCCCCAAGTGGATGTGTTTGACATGGCCAGACTGCGGCTGCAGGCCCCCGTCAGGAGACCCTCCTCCAGGAACGCAGAGCCCAACTACCTGCATAGAATCCATGACTCGCTACAGCTCCGATACAGAGGTGAAGGAATACAGCGATTGTTTGATGAATACTGGGCCGGTCGCAAATGGCACCCTATTCCCTATGTAGGGTCTCATCAAAGGAAGTGCACTATATAGGGAATAGGGTTCCATTGGCACGTAACTCAGGGCACTGATTGTTATACATGAAGTCTAACAGCACAGTGTTCATTAAACAAATGCAGCAACTGGGGCTGTGTAGACACCCTATGCCACTTTCCTTTTCAGTGCACTACTCTTTACCAGGGTGATCAGTGTTGTCCCGAGTGGCGCAGTGGTCTAAGGCACTGCATCTCAGTGCTTGAGGCGTCACTACAGACCCCCTAGTTCGATTCCAGGCTGTGCCACAACCGGCCGTGATTGGGAGTCCCATAGGGCGGCGCACAATTGGCCCAGCGTCGTCCGGGTTTGGCCGGTGTAGGCCGTCATTGTAAATAAGATTGCCTAGTTAAATAAAGGTAAAATATAATATAAAATAAATGAAGTATTGAATGGAGAAGTCATTGTTTGTGCTGCAGACGTTGATTCCAGAGAGGAGGAAGGCCATGGTTACTGTGAGCCCCCTAGGGACCGAGCTGGACAGAGGGTGGACATCCAGAGACAGGCTGATTACAGGGTACAGCAGCGCAGGATCCACAGCCTGAGGAAACCTGTTGACGGTCAGCAGCGTCACCACCAAACACGCACTGCATACTCAATATCAACCTCTACTCACTGCCTACAGACTCAATATCAACCTCTACTCACTGCCTACAGACTCAGTATCAACCTCTATTCACTGCCTACAGACTCAGTATCAACCTCTATTCACTGCCTACAGACTCAGTATCAACCTCTATTCACTGCCTACAGACTCAGTATCAACCTCTATTCACTGCCTACAGACTCAGTATCAACCTCTATTCACTGCCTACAGACTCAGTATCAACCTCTACTCACTGCCTACAGACTCAGTATCAACCTCTACTCACTGCCTACAGACTCAGTATCAACCTCTATTCACTGCCTACAGACTCAGTATCAACCTCTATTCACTGCCTACAGACTCAGTATCAACCTCTATTCACTGCCTACAGACTCAGTATCAACCTCTATTCACTGCCTACAGACTCAGTATCAACCTCTATTCACTGCCTACAGACTCAGTATCAACCTCTATTCACTGCCTACAGACTCAGTATCAACCTCAGTGCCTAAACACTCACTATTAAATACTCATTGATCACCTCACTGATCACAGCTTTATCAACTAACTCGTTAAGGGGCTTGAAAATAATTTGTCTTTGCATTTTTTAGATTGTTTTGACCTGTCACCACCCCAGCAACAAAACCATTATTTGGTGAGTTAATTTAGCTAGTGCACTGAACTACGTACAGTGGTTTATTTGCTGTACAGTACAGCTTGTCTGTTTGTGTCACTAAGCCTGTACACTGTTCTCCACAGAGGAATGCAGTGGGGGATCCTATGAGAGGTTCCCTGTTGGAGTCTGACAGTGCATTCATTGGTAAGCACCTTGTGGTTCACTACTAGCCATGTGTAGTAAGGGAAGGAGTGCGTTGGGAATAACACATAGGGTGCATCCCAAATGGCGCTCTATTTCCCAAATAGTGCACTACTTTTGACCAGAGCCCTATAGGCGGCCTATGGGCTCTGGTCAAAAGTAGTACACTATATAGGGAATATGGTGCCATTTGAGATGCACCCCAGGTTTTGTAAGGGAAAGAGTGCCTTGTGAATCACACCAATAACTCTATTTATCGGTGGTTTGTCTCCAGATCCCATGGGTGAAGCCTTCCCAGTGCCCTCCACACCTGAGCAGAAGCCCCAGCTCTCAGCCAGGGAAAAGAGGAGGCTGGCCAAGAGGGCAGACCTGCACAATGTAAGGTCCTCTCTGTCTGACGGTGTCAAATAGTTCACAGTTCAGTCTCTGATATCTGGGACCGTATTCTCCAAGTGTCTCAGAGTATCGGATCAGGTCCCCCCTGTCCATTTAATCTTATCATGACCTAAAAGGCAAAACTGATCCTAAATCAGCACTCTGAGACACTTTATCCATATAGCCCATGATCCCTACATCGTGAATATGGCCTCACTTCTTAAATGAAGACGTCAGTGGCAGCTCTCCATTGAAAATGCTATATTCCTCTACCATCATAGCTTGTGCTCTGGCTTGTTTAGGAGAGGGTGAGCTCCAGAGAGCCTGTTGGCCAGCCAGAGAACTACTCCCACCAGTCAGAGGCCAGTCTCAACACTGAGCAGCATGACAGAGGGCGTAACCACCATAAGACCAAGAGGCTGCTGGCTATGAGCCACAACGGCCTCGGAACAGGTGGGTGAAGACCTTGGCCCTGGAACCATGTTGATGGCAATGATTACAGAGATAAAACTGTGGAGGCTGTCATAGTGTCCCAATGTGCCGGAATAGAACCATCTCTACCTGGAAGATCTCTATTAATAATTATTAGGAGGATGATGGATGGGTTGTAGATTGGTGGTATCTCTTCATGGTTGCTCTCTCGTCCAGCAGACCTGTCTGGAGATGAAGATGCCTCTCCGCAGGTTTCCCCTCGCGCCCCAGAACCCTGGGGCTCTGTGGATACGGTTGCCATGGAGCCGTGGATGAGACCAGGCACCTCAGAGACTCTGAAGCGCTTAATGACCGGTCAGACTCCCCGCAGGGAAAGGCTGACCAGCAGAGAGGCTGCTGTCCAGGACTGGGAAGGTCCCTCTACCTATCATGGCTAACCCCCCCCCCCCCCCCCTTAGAAAGGGTCATTCTAAGCACTTTGGTGTTCCCGTACACACTTGGGTTGTACAACTTATGTTCAACGCAATTGATATAACAGCTGTGTTAGACCTGACAGTTTTTCTGCACAAAAATAATAACAAAAGCATTGTGGAGACTACACCACCATTGTACGGTGTAAACATTTTTGTGCAGACAAACTGTTGTATGACAAAATATATATATATTTTTGTATTGCAACTTGTCAAATGCGTTGTACAACCAAGTGTGTAGGGGGCCTACGTTTGTACACTGCCGTCACTTGGCTTGATGCAACTACATCAGTGGTCATGCTGGCAGAATCTGCATGAAGATCTCTACAGAGAAGGATCATCTGCTTTAGCTTCTAGATTGATGTCGACTAACTTAGCCCTTTGCTTTTGCAGTGCTTGACTTGTGTATCATGGTCTACCTCTGAAAATGCCTCTTGTTAATTTGCAATGCAGAATTAAGCTTCTTGTGAAAAACGCATAGATTGTACTTTCATGGATGGACCTGTAATGAAAAATATGCAGATTATTCTGAGAATGGTAGGCACAGGGGAGGACAACTCCATTCCTAGAAGGACAGAGTGTGCAGGCATTTGCTCCAGTCAAGCACTATTGAAGTTGATTAGTTAAATCAGGTGTGTCTGAGCTGCGCTGGGACAAAAGCCTGCCGGTTGCCATCCTCTGTAAGGCTTATTGGAAAGAGTGATCTAGGGTTGCCTTAGCCTGTAGACAGATGTCCTGAACTGATCCCAAGACTATCTATTCATGATTTAAATTCATTGTATAATAATGGCACTACATTTAATGTAAATTGTGTTAAAATATTTTCATATGTACTGTGTGAATATGTTTGGCCTAGATGTGACCTCATTTTCAACCTAATTAAATTATTTTAGATAAGGAAGTTGTTTTGTACATTGTCTTTCAGTTCACCTGATAGCTGTTTAATTTGCATTCTGCAGCATATTTTGGGACATGCGGCCAAGTCATGGCAAGTAGCCTAAATATTCAGTGAGAAATCACCTATAAATAAGCCAAAAAATCCTGCAGGAAAATAGGGTCTAACACAACAGCATAGTGATGTAACTGAAAATCATCTGTCAATAAAGTTACTTCTATTGCATATCAATGCAAAGAGTTAAACCTTTGACTAATGAGTGTTCCAGGTGGTAATCAAGTGTACAGAGTTGTACAGCATTGATCTGACATAAAAATAAAAAAAATGTACACCTCGTTTCCCAATGTAACTGACACTCCAAAAGACACTTTAACCCAAACATTATCCTCAAAGTACAGCTTCATCAAAGAACGTGCATCTTGATTTCACAGGAGGCTCATAAATGGCCGGAACGGCATCAAACACCTGTAAACCATGCGTTTAATTTGATACCATTCCATGATTCTGCTCCAGTCATTACCACGAGCCCGTTCTCCCCAATTAAGGTGCCACTAACCTCCTATGCTTTATTTCCATAACATCAACTCATTTGCAAATTCAAATTGTTTTAATTTAAATAAAATACTACAGTATATACATAAAATGGAATAATGTTTACTCATTTTCATACTCCAAAAGACAAACTAGAGCCATGGTAAGGATAAATTGAAGTGAGAAAATGCCAGTATGCTTAAGAAATGACAAGAGTGCTGTTTGATTTAAAAAGAAAACAAACGACAGGTTTTAGTATCTTACGATACTAAAAAGCTACTTTTGATTTGTCTAGTTGTATTTGAGGGCTGATGCTTTTGATACTTAGTGGTTGCGCAAAATAAAATCACTGCTAACGTTACTCGTCCTTTTCATCAACCATTTCATACCTCAGTTTCATAAAAGAATGCCAAGCGATACCAAAAAGCGCACATCACACCCTCCATAATGTTAGTCAGCCCTCTGGTCAGACGGGGAGAAATGACCAGAATAATTGCATTGTTATATTTTATCATTAGTATGATATTTCTATGCTGTACCAGGAAGCCATACTGCAGCCATTCTTTCAGTGCTTTTGTGGGCCCCACTCACTACACTATTGTCAATAGTTAATCTCAGGAGCATCACTGTGTGCAGCATGGAGGAGCTTCCAGTACCTTTCTGCGGGCCCCGTCACTGTCCGCTTTATGAATCCCTTGTGGCCCTCAGAGGGGCAGAGTTCAGAGAGGGTTAAACATATTCGTCTGTGTTCCAAATGGCACCCTATCCCTGTATAGTGCACTATATAGGGAATAGGGTGCCATTTGGGATGCAATCTTTCCCTTTCCCACCCCAGAGAGGGACTGTCTGAGGAGCCTGTGTTGGTCCTGGTCCACTAGTGATGTCGTCACTGGCTCCCAGCAGGCCCTAGCTCCACTCTGGGACTGGGCAGCAGTGAGATGTCGAAGGCGTTGCCGATGCGGAGGAAGAACTTACGCAGCACGGCCCGGAGTTCTGGGATCAGGTCAAACTGCATGATCTCACAGAGGAGTGGGTAGTACCTGGATGCATGGGCCTTGAACTGGATAAAGGAGGGAATCCGATTAGCTCATTCTCCACAGACATGGGAAGGGAAAATTACAACTAAGCCTCTGTCTCAATTCATCTTTACATGTTTCCTTGCATCCTATCTCCTCACCTTCTCCCCTTGGACCTTCTTCTCCAATGCGTTTTGAGAACGAGGCGAGGAATGGAGGAAAGATTAATTGAGAACTCTACTTTGTGATCGACTCACCCTGTCATCGCTAATCTTCACCACCTTGGTGAGGAAGAGGAGGAGGAGATTGGTCCAGGCTTCCCGGTGGCTCTCTGATGTCAGAGTAAGGAAGTAGGCCAGGGCCTCACTACACACACTGCAATAGGCAGAGACATTACAGAAGAGTGAGTGAGTGTGGCACTTTTTCCAGACTCCGAGCAGCAGAATATTAGCCTAGTGGAACCCAGCCTGTTCTCGGGATAACTCACATTCTGTTTCACTTTAAATGAAACGTGAGTGCAGCAGTCAGTCTGATTGACCAGGCTAGCAAAATACAGGTTCTTGCCTCAATGTCTGTACTACCGGTATTCACTCCTGTCCACAATGAGGGACTAAAGGGTGCTGAACAAGCAAACTGTTTAACACAAATCAATAGCACAATTTCCTCTAGCTAAGTTCTTACTTGAGCAGTTGTCTCTGCACCTCTTCCCGGGCTGCCTTGCGGCTGTCGTCTGTGTACATGCGGAACAGGATGCGGAGGCCACAGGCCAGACTGTTAGTCTCCTGCTTCAACAGGTTTGGTTTGGACTTCCCCTTGAAACCTGAGAAACATACATACATACATACGTTGTGAGACAACTGTTGTTGTATGTTAGTCTGTCATAAAGCCATTCGAATGCCACTGTTTACTAATTCCACAACATCAGACATCATAAGACAAGAATTACATGTAGAATCCCATATTGAGTAGTAATTTATAGGATCTCTGCGTCATAAGAGGTCATGATTATAGCTTGGGACGGCAGGTAGCCTAGAAGTTAAGTGCGTTGGAATTGAAAAATCTGTCGATGTGCCCTTGAGCAAGGCACTTAACCCTAAATTGCTCCTGTAAGTCACTCTGGATAAGAATGCTGCTAAATCACTCAAATGGAAATGGGATGATCATTTAAAGGTATAGGGGGTTCTGAGTCACCCAGTCACCCACCTGCCTTCCACAGGACAGTCCTCTGCTCGTTGTTGGAGTTGAAGGCCTTGGCGAAGCGGTGGGACTCTTGCAGACAGTCCAGCAGTTTGAAGAGCTGATACGAGGTCAGATAGCGGTACATTCCCTGGTCCTGTGCCTCCAACAGGACGTCTGCATCTACTGTGTCTCTCTGGGGAGGATGACAACAACACAATGCTCAGTTATAACCAAACGTTAGAAAGCCAAACTGATTGTTTTATTTATTTATTTTACCCGGTAAGTTAACTGAGAACACATTCTCATTTACTGCAACGACCCAGGGAATAGTTACAGGGGAGAGGAGGGCGGGGATGAATGATCCATTTGGAAGCTGGGGATGATTAGGTGGCCATGATGGTATGAGGGCCAGATTGGGAATTTAGCCAGGACACCGGGGTTAACACCCCTACTCTTACGATAAGTGCCATGGATCTTTAGTGACCACAGAGAGTCAGGACACCCGTTTAACGTCCCACCCGAAAGATGTCACCCTACACTGGGTAATGTCCCCAATCACTACCCTGGGGCATTGGGATATTTATTTATTTTTGACCAGAGGAAAGAGTGCCTCCTACTGGCCCTCCAACACCCCTTCCAGCAGCATCTGGTCTCCCATCCAGGGACCGACGTGGACCAAGGATTCACAACCTTTTTTTAGTTGTAATAACATTGACAGCCCCTCTCAAAATATTATTTGTCATAAGATAAATTTTTCCCTTACTGGCTTTCCCTTCAGTTATTGAAACAGGCTGATTTCAGTACAAACTCCATGGTTACCTGTGCAGCAGCCAGGTTCTCTGCATCCTCCTTCCTGCTGCTGGCGGGGTAGAATACCATGTTGTCTATGGTCTGGATCAGCTCCAACTGCACAACACACTTAATGAGCAGTACTGAGAATAACCTCTGCTCCTGCACCTCTGCAACACATTGACAGACACAGGACAGGCAGTGTGAGGGACGGGGGGAGAAACAGGGAGAGGGAAAGAGGAATAGGAGGTGGGAGAAGAGACAGAGAGAGACTGGGACAGGGACAGAGACAGAGACAGGGAGAGAGACAGGGACAGACACAGGGAGAGAGACAGGGACAGGGACAGGGACAGAGACAGGGAGAGAGACAGGGACAGAGACAGGGACAGAGACAGGGACAGAGACAGGGAGAGAGACAGAGACAGAGACAGGGACAGAGACAGGGAGAGAGACAGGGAGAGAGACAGGGACAGAGACAGGGAGAGAGACAGGGACAGACACAGGGAGAGAGACAGGGACAGAGACAGGGAGAGAGACAGAGACAGGGAGAGAGACATGGACAGAGACAGGGAGAGAGACAGGGACAGACACAGGGAGAGAGACAGGGACAGACACAGGGAGAGAGACAGGGAGAGAGACAGGGACATGGACAGGGAGAGAGACAGGGACATGGACAGAGACAGGGAGAGAGACATGGACAGAGACAGGGAGAGAGACAGGGACAGACACAGGGAGAGAGACAGGGACAGACACAGGGAGAGAGACAGGGACAGACACAGGGAGAGAGACAGGGACAGACACAGGGAGAGAGACAGAGACAGGGAGAGAGACAGGGGCAGGAAGAGAGACAGGGGCAGGGGGAGAGACAAAGGCATTGGCGAGACAAAATCCGGGGAGTGCTGTCTAGGAGCCAGGGATTATGGACTTGCCCCGTAAACCTCCAAACAAACTCACTGGCTGGGGTCCTAGCTCTGGGTCCGTCCTCATATGTGCCTGAGGAGCCGCTGTACGTTCTCTGCCTTTGGTTCTCCGGGGAGATCCTGTCCACACTGCACTCTGACTGCTGGTCCTCTGTACGACTCTGAATGTCCACTGACTTCTGGGATATGGAGTCCTGACAACACCAGAGAGGGACTTGTATGTAGATTCGACATACCTTATCATACATAATCACAACTCAGCATGATGATCCCATTTCTATGAGAGTGTTAAGAAGTAGTGTACTGGGAGGTCAGTTTAAAGTCTCAAACATAAACCAAATAGATGGTAAAAGGGGAATGGCGAACACAGATGAGCAGTAAACCTACCAGGTTTGAGGGGTCGTACTGTTGCATCAGCTCCCCCTCTGTCCCTGCTGGTCTCCACGTCAACAACCTAAGGAGAGGATGCCCAATACAGAACAGAGTCAATCTACTGTTGTTATCAACTGTAGATGGTTCAAGTTCATAGAACATAAAAACATTCAATATGAAATCCCTATTGTAGTAAAACACTTCCTCTGATAGCAAAAGGGTCTCACGCATGAGGGATGGTTGTTTTGAAGATGTCCAGCATACAGTTGCAGGTTTTGTCCCATGTCTCTGGGTTGAACTTCTCCCCGTTCAGAATGACCACGTTTTCCAGACAGTTGGTACCTGAGCGCGCCAGCTGCTCGTTGTCTGAGGAGAGACAGAGGAGGTCAGAGAGAGAGAGGGAAGAGAGAGAGGTCTAAAACTCTGAGGTGTTTTAGATGAGACACGGACAACCAGCTCTCTCCTCTCACCTTGTTGTACACACCAGTACAGTTGAGACAGGATATGGTCCAGGAGAATATCACTGAGAAACTCAAAGTACTGAGTGAAGACATCACAGATGGCGTAAAGTGCATGGTTACAGGTGGTGGTCATCCATTCAGCTTTCTGGGTTTAAAGAGGAAAATGAAGCTCATTAGTGTACAGCAGTTGGCACCTTATTCCCTATGTAGTGCACTACTTTTGACCAGGACCCATAGGGCTCAACATGCTATGTATTTTCTGGCTATGACACAAAGTTCCTATCAACTTGAGCTTCTTACCTCAGTTTGCTGCTCTGGCAGTTTCATGTTGTCAAAGATCCTAAAGATGATCCTGAACAGATCCTGCCACCAGTGTTTCTCATAGGTGTGACCGTAGGTCTTCATAATCTCAAACATCACAGTCAAGCCCCTAGAGCAATGGCAAGGAAACAGGAATTATTTATTAGTAGAGGGTTCACACTCAAAAAATACATTTTCTAAGTTATTTTATAATGATCACACCACTAGTGGAACTCAATCAGTAAATGACCAAACACGGACTAGGGACACTGGTATTTAATAAAATGTATTTCAGAAAGCCTTTTTACATCAGCACTTGACACAAAGTGCTTTACACATACCGCCCTAAAGCCCAAAGAGCATTGCAGAAGTAGAAGCACAGTGGCTAGGAAAAACTTCCCTACAAGTTTGTCCCAGGTAGGATGAGAGGGGCTTTACCTGGTCCTGATGTCCAGTTTACACCTGTTGATGATGCAGGACAGCTCAAACAGGATGGGGAACCACCCCCTCACCCACACCCGGTCCTCCGGGGCTACGTTCATGTCATCACTGGTGTAGTCCTTGAAGGCCTGGCAAGAGAGGGAGGCGAGGGTTTTACACATGGGTTAGACAGTCTTATGGCCATGCAGAGAGTTTAATACATTATTTAGAACTTCTGCCCTAGTATTTCACATTTACATTTTACATTTTAGTCATTTAGCAGACGCTCTTATCCAGAGCGACTTGCAGTTAGTGAGTACATACATATTCGTATTTATTTTTCATACTGGCCCCCCGCGGGAATCGAACCCACAACCCTGGCGTTGCAAACACCATGCTCTACCAACATCCCTGCCGGCCATTCCCTCCCCTACCCTGGATGACGCTGGGCCAATTGTGCGCCGCCCCATGGGTCTCCCGGTCACGGCCGGCTACGACAGAGCCTGGATTCGAACCAGGATCTCTAGTGGCACAGCTAGCACTGCGATGCAGTGCCTTAGACCACTGCGCCACTCGGGAGGTTACATCCTAGTATTATCTCTGAATAGGCTACTTCAACTCCTTTGCTATATAGTGCTCACCTGTGGCCTCTCAGACACATATTTGGCACAGTGGCGTATGAGGCGGATGGACTCCATACTGGTGTCTGGGAAGGAGGCGTTACAGGCAAACTCAGACAGACACTTCACAGCATCCTGGAAGGAATCAATGGTGGCCGGGAAGTGCTTCTCAAATACATTCGCTGAGAACACAATTTAAAAGAAATGACAAAATATACTTAAAAATATATCTATAAAAAGGACAATGTAATAAATAAGTGTTCGAGGTTTCTGTTTTTTAGTTTCTCTTTGTACTACCATCCTCTATTATTCTTCATGTTTACAGCGGTAAGTCATGTCATTGACCAAGGACTATCTAGTGTTAGTCAGATAACCCAACACTTACTGACGATGTAGCCGGTGGTCTGGAAGGCCAGCTCCACGATGCTCTCGTCCTGGTCCGAGGCAGCCAGGTGGAACACTGAGAAGATGTTCTTCCACCCCGACCGGATGTTCCCAGCCTGGGAGTTCACCATCTGAGCTATACACCTCACCACCATGTCTCGAATGGTAGGAGACCTGTAGGCAATGGCATTACAGTTTGAATAATTATTGAATCATTGTATCCTTTCAAGGTTTGAATCATTTTCCAGGTTTGAATCGTTGAATCATTTCCCAGGTTTGAATCATTTAATCATTTTGAGGTTTGAATTGTTTTCAAGGTTTGATTCACTGAATCATTTCAAGGTTTGAATAGCTGAATCGTTTCAAGGTTTGAATCGTTTTAGGCAACAAAGGATGCAATGGCGGCATTTCTTACCAGCATTGGGATTTCATTTCATGCATTATTCAGTGCAGGTTATAAAATAAAACAAAGCTGACCTGTTCTTTTTCATTATATGTTCGAAAGGCCTCAAGAAATCCTTCTGGAATCGGAAGTTGGCGAGCTCTCCTTTTTCTAAGAATTTCATAGACAGCTGCCTCAGGGAATCCACAGAAAATATAGCCACATCCTCATTGGAGTTACATCCAACCTGTACAGATACAAACACAATCTCTCAACATATACTTAAACATCAACACAAAAACAGCAGGTGAACAGCACTATAAATTCTTGCCAATTATGGATTTTTTCCCCCCAACAAATGTTTTTATCACAAAAATAATAAATAAACCAGTACCTTGTTAAAATGGTCCCCGATGACTTCCCAAATTCTGGACCACTGAAGCCTGATGCGGCCCATGTTGTAGTAGGAGATCTCCACAATCTTCTGAAGGCTAAACATGCGTGGGTGTGTTGGTGAGGCTAGCTCGTCCATTGATACAGCACACAACCACCGGACAAAATCAACTGCATAGAGTGAACAAATTCATTTCAATCTGTTATTATTCATATTCAGGCATTACATTCCGTTTCACTAGATAATTTGGAGGGTGCTTATATTTGTCCTGTTACACACAAGTGTGTAAAGCAAATATGTTTCTTGCATATCCCATCTCCCCACAGGGTGTGGGGTCATGGCCAGGGTCACCATTGTCCAGCACCCCTGGAGCAATTGGGGTTAAGTGCCTTGCTCAAGGGTACAGAAAAAGAATAAAACAATTTTCACCTTGTCGGCTCTGGGAATCGAACCAGCGACCTTTCGGTTACTGGCCCAACTCTCTAACCGAGGCTACTTGCCACACCTACACATCATTGGATAAAAATGTACAGTTATGATCAAATGTAACTGATACCAACCTATTGCATTGCCATCCAGTCTGGTAGATCCAGTAAATATTCTGAAAAAACATAAAAATATGACATTTATTCCATCTGCAATAGTGAGTGCTTTTATGGTCTTATGGGGAGGGGAGACATTATACAAAATAAAGGTTTATTGACTAATAAAACTGGAGAGAGGAAACAACATATTGAATGAATTCCATCAGAAGGCCCATTCTATCAGCCTACCTGTCAACAGCAACCACTACACTCTGGGAGCTTGTCTCTCCAATGGACTCCTGAATACTAGCTATCTGTTTACGGTCCACATTACCTCCAGCTGCAAGACAAACAATGTGTAATGAGAAAAAGGTTTCAAGCAAACCCGTTAGCCAAACAATGACACATAACACTACATTATATGTTAAGAAAATATCAAACCATGAACCATGATATGACATTACCACTAAGATAAACATTGAGATACATGTCCAACAAAACTAGCCATTGTAACAATAGCCTAAAGGGTATCTAATCCAACAGCCTGGGTGCATCCCAAAAAGCACCCTAGTATTCCCTATATTGACCAAAGCCCTATGGGGTTAGGGTGGAATAGGGAAAAGGGTGCCATTTGGAATGCAGACTATCAATGGAAAGGAGAGAGGACTGACCCAGTCCCAGGTACTCTGAGCTGTCTGAGGCCTGCTCTCTCAGGCTGGCCAGGAGGCCCCCTTTGGCCGGGACCGTCCCTGAGATGTAGCGGGCCTTCACCCCCGTCCCGATCAGCTGGGCCAGCTCCAACTGACTGATACACTTCAAGATCTGTGGAGGCCAGGAGAGAACAGAGGAGAACCTTTCAGATGGGATTTTAATGGAGGGTTACTATACTAATCATCCTTTATTTAGCTATTGAGTCAAGTTATCTCTTTTAAGATACTGGTTGGTAAAAACATTTACTGGGAGACAGAACAATGCAGACCTAAGTCATTGAGGACATTCTCTTTCATAATAACGTCCTGGTTGGTCAAAAATATTGAAATACACTGACTGTACTATGTAAGACGATAATATGTAAGAGGTGCTAACCTCATGCCAGGAGTTGCCCAGGTAGTTTCCGTCAGTGTGGGCGACGGTGATGAGGGTCTTAATGGTGTCAATGTTCTTTTGTTTCATCTCAGAGATACCAGAGCTGGCTGTGAGCAGGGTAAAGCGTGCCAGGGCCTGCACGTATGCATCACGTTCCAGTTGGATGGTGAAGATGCAGGCTATCCTGATGGCACAGCGGATCCCCTCCAAACACAGAGAGGCCACCTCAGTGTCATCACAGTCCTGAAGACCCACACTGAACGCTGCTAAGAACGGGGTCCATGCCAACTGGGGAAAACACACACAAGGTCAGTACAAAAATAAGGATTTATTTGGATTTCCAGACCAAGGATGTTGGTGCAAGAAATATAAAAAGATTACACATTTTTACACTCAAATTTAGTTATGTGTAATACCATCTTAGAATTGGTATTCTGCATTTGGTTCCAGCATCAACTACAATCCCATCTGATACTGAAGGGAATGCATTACTACTGTGAGTAATGGTGACGTAACAGTGGTGGGATTGTCGTACCTTGGTCTGGACATTGGTCTGACCATATAAATAGAATGAGTTTCATTCGAAATCTTATCCTAACGGTCATTTATTCTAATTATATGGGTCTGACGTGGTCTAGGCGGGTTACCTTAAACATGGGTCTGACCGTAGAATAGAATGAGTTGCATTCTAATTATATTCGTCTGACGTAGTCTAGGTGACTTACCTTGAACATAGGTTTTACCATAAAAATAAAAGGAGTGGTATTTTTTGTAATTATATATTTTTAAAGTATTATTCTAATTCTATGGGTCTGACGTGGTGTAGGTGGGTTACCTTGAACATGGGTCTGATGTGGTCTAGGTGGGTTACCTTGAACATGGGTCTGATGTGGTCTAGGTGGGTCACCTTGAACATGGGTCTGACGTGGTCTAGGTGTGTTACCTTGAACATGGGTCTGATGTGGTCTAGGTGGGTTACCTTGAACATGGGTCTGACGTGGTCTAGGTGGGTTATCTTGAACATGGGTCTGATGTGGTCTAGGTGGGTCACCTTGAACATGGGTCTGACGTGGTCTAGGTGTGTTACCTTGAACATGGGTCTGATGTGGTCTAGGTTGGTTACCTTGAACATGGGTCTGACGTGGTCTAGGTGGGTATACATTGAACATGGGTCTAACGTGGTCTAGGTGGGTTACCTTGAACATGGGTCTGATGTGGTCTAGGTGGGTTACCTTGAACATGGGTCTGACGTGGTCTAGGTGTGTTACCTTGAACATGGGTCTGATGTGGTCTAGGTTGGTTACCTTGAACATGGGTCTGATGTGGTCTAGGTGGGTTACCTTGAACATGGGTCTGATGTGGTCTAGGTGGGTTACCTTGAACATGGGTCTGACGTGGTCTAGGTGTGTTACCTTGAACATGGGTCTGACGTGGTCTAGGTGGGTGGCGCTGGTGAAGGGAGCCTGGACATGGCTGACAGCCTCCATCAGGGCCTTGGCTGTCTTAGCCATCTGCTCCATCTCTACATTATACAGCAGACGCCTTTGCTTCTCATTGGCCACACCTTGGGACAAAACAGACAGACACTTAGTGAGCATGCTCTCACACACAAACACACACCTACTGTACACAGTGTCAACACCTAACCACACAAGACAATATGTTGATGCCATCACTGTGCCTCAGAGGACAGACTAGCTTTTAGTCCATATAGTGTGCTTGTTTCATTCTTGACTTGCTTTGTTTGCTGGATTTGAGGGTGATTTTCTTTGTTTCATTCATGGCTATTTTCTTCCCTGCGATTTCATCGTAAATGGCTGACAGGTACTCCTCAGGTAAATCTTTGCTGTCGTTGATTCCTCGGTTCATCTTGATGTATTGCTCTTTAGTCATTTTATTCTTCACCTGGGAGGGGGGGAAAAAAGTCCCAAAGAATTTAGGTCACAGAAAAATGACCTCTCTTAATCAATAAGCACTCATAAAAAGGTCAATAAGCCGTGTCTGAGTGACTTACTTGTGGACTGTGAAGGTCTGTTGTCAGCATAATGATTGAATAAGCCAGGACGTAGGCCGTATCTGCACTGGCAAACTCAGTTTGCCTGAAGGATTAGAAAAAGCCCAATGTCATAACATCTAATATGCAATAACATAACTACCAACATCATCCATTAACCCATACCATGGAGTCTGTCTACTGACATGGAAACCAGAGAGAGACTCACCCTTGGTTACATTCTAAATATCTGGCCGCAAATTTCTCCATGAGTCGATCGATCTTCTGGGCCTCTCCAGGCAGACGGAAGCCCTCCAGGAACAGACGCAGAGCCGAGACAAAGTCCTTGCCTTGGAAATCCATCTGGTCTACGTAGGCGTACATCACCTCTTTATTAATGCGCTCGTTATCCCCGATGAACTCACCCACCTGAGTCTGAAAAGCAAAGTCCATACAGAGGCACTTCAATATACACAAACAATGAAAATACAGTGTATATTCAATATATTTGTGGACAACAAAAGTGAGAACAACAAAAGTTTAATATTTAACACAGAAAAATATCTTAAGGCTTAATCCGTGTCTGGTAAACTGCTCCCTCAAGGATACCAGGCAGTGAATCCCATTGCATGTTATGTAGTTTCAGCAGGTCCTTACAGAATCTAGCCTCTCCTCCTGATGCAGAAACTGAGCTAGGTCCTCCGGCGTGGTACCCAGCATGCCTTGCTCCTGTAGATACTGGATGCCCCTCTTTGGCTTCTTGTTGAACCTGCACAGGAAGAGAGAGAGGGGGAAATTTCACATCTGTATGACACAGGCACGTTTGAGAGTATAAATTCTGCTCGTCACTTATCATCGGCTGAGCAGATTGACTGATCTACAAATCATAATGATTAGTTATTAAGGATGCAAGGTGATTTATAGATCAGACCCTGTGAAATTACTTCCAGTCTCCCACACACTTACAGGTCGATGCCTTGCTCGATGATCTCTTTCTGCTGCTTGAGGACCTCGAACTGCTCTGCGTTGTCAGTTCCTGATATGAGGGTGCTGTAGGAGCCGATGCCTGAGGAGGTGGTGGAGTCCAGGGAGTTGAGGCTGCCGTAGCGGTTGATACTCTCTGGGGGCTTGGTGCTCTCACTGGGCTCCTGCTCTACTGGCTTTTCCTGACCTACAGAGGCGAGGGGTGGTACGTAGGGACATCCCATAATATCAATAATTACCCTTCCCTTTATAAAACACTGTCAGAGGTCTCAGGGGCTCCCTACTAGGTCTCCTGCTGTAAGCCTGAACACCACTAGTGTTCACAGCAGGTTAACAAACACAGGACCACACAACAAACTGAAGGGTAGCTACAGCCTAACTCTAACGCAGGGGGATTTCTGCTAAAACTGATAGTCAAGATCAATCTCAGGCTCTAACTAACTGAAACCATGGGTTTCTAAGTCTAGGAATACATTTGATGATTTACCTGCTCTCCCTTAGAACAACAAAGAAAGAGAGGAAAGCAGATCCAGATCAGTGATAGAACATGTCATGATAAACACAAATATATAATTGAGTGTGAGCTGAAGAGAGATCTCAGATGTGTAGTTAGAGATATGGGTGGAAGCAAGGCTGTCGCGTCTCAGTGGGTTTGTGTGTAATGAAAGAAGTCCCAAGTCTACTGCAGTGGTTCTGGTTATGAATGAGGGTGACTTGTTCTCAGGGGAAACGTAGTGGCTCTTATTCAACAGTAGGTAGTATGTAAGTGGGATTTTACCTAGACTGGTCTGAGAGTTGGGGTTCACATACTGATCATTGCTCCATTCCACCATACACTTGAGGAGGGACACTAGACACTCCAGACCCTTTTTCCTCAAACTCAGCTCCTACAACAAATAAACACATTTAAATGGTCACACAACAGGAAAGGAGATGTATGGAAGATGAATGTCCATTGGAAGCATCTTTTACCTGAGCAGGTGTGGTGCCAAGCTCATGCCCCACTCTGCCCTGTGCTATCTTAGATAGGTAATTGACCAGCCTCTCAAATATATTAGCAGCATTCAGGTCACAGTCGTAGTTGACATAGATATCCACCACACTCTGGGCGTCTGTGAGGAGAGAGAAGACACAGAGGTGAGTGTCTGTCTGTCAAAGCCTCAGTAGTGTGAGGTGGTATCATACCTGGAGGAGACAGAACACCAAAGAGAAAGGAATACTTCCGTTACCTCGCTATCCAACCAAGGTACATGAACAGAGAAGCAAACTGAGGTGAAGAAGTGATTCAGCAACTTTTGGAGGACAATGCAACTTGATAAAAACATTTTTTTATTTGTAAGACCAACGTGTTTCAACCCTTAGCCTTCATCAGGGTTTTACAGATAGACAAATCCTCTGTAGTGAGAAGTTCAGTAGACAGACACTAACCTGCACAGTAGACAGACACTAACCTGCACAGTAGACAGACACTAACCTGCACAGTAGACAGACACTAACCTGCACAGTAGACAGACACTAACCTGCACAGATCCTGGTGAGACTCTGGATCACCATCCATTTATGATCATAGGAGCTGGTGGACGTCTCCAGGATGTAGAGGAAGATCTCCTTGAAAAACACCTGAGGGAAAAGTAAAAAAAAAACTCCTTACACTCAGTGATAAAACTCCACCAAATCCTGTATAAATAATTTTGTAAAGAGTTTATTACACAGTATTTACAAAGGCATTCAAACAAAACGCACTAATGAAACTAAATCTTGTTGTGTTATTATTCATTCAAAATGAAGAGAGCCAAACAGTTACAGTACCTCGATTTGCATCTTGAGGTGGGTCTTGAAGTGGGACAGGAGGGTGAGGAAGATGGAGAGCGAGAGCTCGAAGACCTCGGGGACCGAGGAGACTCCGTTCTTGGACAGCGCCACACACAGGTACTGCTTGATGGCGTTGATGAACATCTCGTTGGTCTTGAAGATGGGCCCCGCGTTCTGCAGGATGGACAGCAGCAGTTGGAGGGACAGCACCTTGGAGCGCAGCTCGTGAGATCTACAAAGACAAAGTTTACTTGACGCATCCAAATGCCTTATTATGCATTTTAAGACTTGTCATGAGCATATATGACATCTTTATAATGTCACACAATCATCTTATATTGATCTGGACTAACAGACAGTGAGACAGTTGACAATGTTATGCACAGACTTAACATATTATAAGCCTTAGCCATAATAAAGGTTCAATACATGCTTATAACAACTTATAAAGCATTATACCCACGCCCTTTAAGAAAAGGGTTACCAAGAGGTTCAATCACACAGTCAATTCCTATGGCCATCTATTCGTACAGTAACTAAGTGTGACAGAGTATCAAGGAGAATTTACTTAGGATCAGGGGGTCCATCAGACAGTGGCTTCATAGAGAGTTTGCAGAGGGAGCGAAACACTAAGAAGGCGTCCTTCTGGAGGATATGGGAGAACTTAGCAACAGGGGAGGAACCACTCGTAGCTCCAGATTCCTAGAAAAGGAAATGCACACACTTATCTTATATTAGCACGCCATATCAGATGTTTTCATATACACATATGTACATGAATACGCCAAATCAGATGCCACTCAAATACTTCGATTTATCAACTAATCTGTTAATACTCGATAGACAGTATCTGAATCCTTATTACATATTTAGTGCACTACTTTTGACCAGGGCCCATAGGGCTATGGCCATAGCCTATATAGGGAATAAGGTGCCATTTGGGAAGCTGTCAATGGCATTCTATGTAGGGGAGCAGTGTGGGTGGGCACCTGAGTGTCGTTGGACGAGACAGAGAGCCTGTCGTCCGTCAGTGAGGGGGTGAAGCCAGTAGATATGGGCGTGCCAGGGATACCGTTGGCATGGACGTTCTCTGTGTCGCTGCCCAGCCCCTCCTCCTCCTCCTCCACCACCACCGGGACTGGCGTATCATCTGCACACTCTGTAGCGCTGCACACACTCTCCCTACATTCTACACACACACAGGGACATCAGCTAAAACAGAGTATAGGATCGTCTCAGAAAACATAACAGTGGGGCTAAAAATGAATTAGAACGTAAGATCATTTCTATTTCATTCTAGTGCAATGTGAACAACCTTCAAGGCACTACAGTGAGTCCAATGTTCTACAGACAAGACAAGACATACTATATAGGAGTATAAAAGGTAAGAAAATGGTGTGTTACCTCCAATAACTGTATTGACAACTTCCTGCAGCATGGTCTGGACCATCTCTTGAGCTTGCTCCTCATAGTTGACTGGTTCTTCCTCTACAACCCCTTCAGCATCTTGCTGGAACAAACCTAGAGAGATATAATTACATTTTAGTCATTTAGCAGACGCTCTTATCCAGAGCGACTTACAGTTAGTGAGTGCATACATTTTCATACTATGTGCATACATAAATACAATTTACCATGCTTTCCTATGGTGACATTGAAGTCAGAATTACACAGAGGGAGCTGCTATGCAATTAACCAATGCACATAACTCCTTTGTGAAACCTTCCATTTAATGTATCACTCCACTATGTGTACAAAACATATTAAACTGCAAAGGTCTCGGAGGACCATTTCATTATGAATCCCAATAAAGGACCTCTGCCTTGTAGAGTTTAACTGCCTCTGGTCAGGCCAAGGAGTCTAGAATGGACGCCATATTCAGACATTAGTAGTAGCCTTGGCTTGTCTCCTGTTTCTGTAGCGTGAGGCGGCTTGATGTACATCAACGGACAGAACGCTAGTCTATCGCACGGCCTTACCCCCAATCCATCTCCTTAATGTTGAGTGCCAAGAAAGAGATACATCGGGGTCCCATTTTTACAGTCTTTGTTATGACTCGGCCGAGGATTGAACACCCAACCTTGCAATCTCAGGGTGGCCACTCTAACCACAAGGCCACTGAGTTGGTCATAAACATAAACTCAGCAAAAAAAGAAACGTCCTCTCACTGTCAACTGCGTTTATTTTCAGCAAACTTAACATGTGTAAATATTTGTATGATCATAACAAGATTCAACAACTGAGACATAAACTGAACAAGTTCCACAGACATGTGACTAACAGAAATTGAATTATGTGTCCCTGAACAAAGGGGGGGTCAAAATCAAAAGTAACAGTCAGTATCTGGTGTGGCCACCAGCTTCCTTAAGTACTGCAGTCCATCTCCTCTTCATGGACTGCACCAGATTTGCCAGTTCTTGCTGTGAGATGTTACCCCACTCTTCCACCAAGGCACCTGCAAGTTCCCGGACATTTCTGGGGGGAATGGCCCTAGCCCTCACCCTCCGATCCAACAGGTCCCAGACGTGCTCAAGATCCGGGCTCTTCGCTGGCCATGGCAGAACACTGACATTCCTGTCTTGCAGGAGGTCACGCACAGAAAGAGCAGTATGGCTGGTGGCATTGTCATGCTGGAGGATCATGTCAGGATGAGCCTGCAGGAAGGGTACCACATGAGGGAGGAGGATGTCTTCCCTGTAACGCACAGCGTTGAGATTGCCTGCAATGACAACAAGCTCAGTCCGATGATGCTGTGACACACCACCCCAGACCATGACAGACCCTCCACCTCCAAATCGATCCCGCTCCAGAGTACAGGCCTCGGTGTAACGCACATTCCTTCGACGACAAACGCGAATCCGACCATCACCCCTGGTGAGACAAAACGGCAATTGGTCAGTGAAGAGCACTTTTTGCCAGTCCTGTCTGGTCCAGTGACGGTGGGTTTGTGCCCATTGGCCTACAAGCCCACAGTCCAGCCTCTCTCAGCCTATTGCGGACAGTCTGAGCACTGATGGAGGGATTGTGCGTTCCTGGTGTAACTCGGGCAGTTGTTGTTGCCATCCTGTACCTGTCCCGCAGGTGTGATGTTCGGATGTACCGATCCTGTGCAGGTGTTGTTACACGTGGTCTGCCACTGCGAGGACGATCAGCTGTCCGTCCTGTCTCCCTGTAGCTCTGTCTTAGGCGTCTCACAGTACGGACATTGCAATTTATTGCCCTGGCCACATCTGCAGTCCTCATGCCTCCTTGCAGCATGCATAAGGCACGTTCACGCAGATGAGCAGGGACCCTGGGCATCTTTCTTTTGGTGTTTCTCAGAGGCTGATGAAAGGCCTCTTTAGTGTCCTAAGTTTTCATAACTGTGACCTTAATTGCCTACCGTCTGTAAGCTGTTAGTGTCTTAACGACCGTTCCACAGGTGCATGTTCATTAATTGTTTATGGTTCATTGAACAAGCATGGGAAACAATGAAGATCTGTGAAGTTATTTGGATTTTTACAAATTATCTTAGAAAGACAGGATCCTGAAAAAGGCTGTTTCTTTTTTTGCTGAGTTTATATACATACATACACACACACACACATACAGTCAAAAGTTTGGACACACCTACTCATTCCAGGGTTTTTCTTTATTTTTACTATTTTCTACATTGTAGAATAATAGTGAAGACGTCAAAACTATGAAATAACACATATGGAATCATGTAGTAACAAAATAAGTGTTAAACAAATCAAAATATATTGTATATATGAGATTCTTCAAAGTAGCCATCCTTTGCCTTGATGACAACTTTGCACACTCTTGGCATTCTCTCAACCAGATTCATGAGGTAGTCACCTGGAATGCATTTCAATTAACAGGTGTGCCTACTTAAAATTTCATTTGTGGAATTTATTTCCTTCTTAATGCGTTTGAGCCAATCAGTTGTGTTGTGACAAGGTAGGGGTGGTATACAGAAGATAGCCCTATTTGGTAAAAGACCAAGTCCATATTATGGCAAGAACAGCTCAAATAAGCAAAGAAATACGACAGTCCATCATTACTTTAAGACATGAAGGTCAGTCAATACGGAACATTACAAGAACTTTGAAAGTTTCTTCAAGTGCAGTCGTAAAAACCATCAAGCGCTATTATGAAACTGGCTCTCATGAGGACCACACACAGGAAAGGAAGACCCAGAGTTACCATTAGAGTTAACTACACCTCAGATTGCAGCCTAAACGCTTCACAGAGTTCAAGTAACAGACAAATCAACTATTCAGAAGAGACAGCGTGAATCAGGCCTTCATGGTCGAATTGCTACAAAGAAACCACTACTAAAGGACACCAATAATAAGAAGAGACTTGCTTGGGCCAAAGAAACACGAGCAATGGACATTAGACCGGTGGAAATCTGTCCTTTGGTCTGAGGAGTCCAAATGTGAGATTTTTGGTTCCAACCGCCGTGTCTTTGTGAGACGCAGAGTAGGTGAACGGATGATCTCTGCATGTGTGGTTCCCACCGTGAAGCATGGAGGAGGTGGTGTGATGGTGTGGGGGTGCTTTGCTGGTGACACTGTCAGTGGTGATTTATTTAGAATTCAAGGCACACTTAACCAGCATGGCTACCACAGCATTCTGCAGCGATACACCATCCCATCTGGTTTGCGCTTAGTGGGAATATCATTTGTTTTTCAACAGGACAATGACCCAAAACACACCTCCAGGCTGTGTAAGGGCTATTTGACCAAGAAGTAGAGTGCTGGATTGCTGCATCCGATAACCTGACCTCCACAATCACCTGACCTCAACCCAATTGAGATGGTCTGGGATGAGTTGGACCGCAGAGTGAAGGAAAAGCAGCCAACAAGTGCTCAGCATATGTGGGAACTCCTTCAAGACCGCTGGAAAAGCATTCCTCATGAAGCTGGTTGAGAGAATGCCAAGAGTGTGCAAAGCTGTCATCAAGGCAAAGGGTGGCTACTTTGAAGAATCTCAAATGATTCCATATGTGTTAATTTCATAGTTTTGATGTCTTCACTATTATTCTACAATGTAGAAAATAGGAAAAATAGAAAAACCCTGGAATGAGTAGGTGTGTCCAAACTTTTGACTGGTACTAATATATATATATATATATACACACAGTGGGGAAAAAAAGTATTTAGTCAGCCACCAATTGTGCAAGTTCTCCCACTTAAAAAGATGAGAGAGGCCTGTAATTTTCATCATAGGTACACGTCAACTATGACAGACAAATTGAGGAAAAAAAATCCAGAAAATCACATTGTAGGATTTTTAATGAATTTATTTGCAAATTATGGTGGAAAATAAGTATTTGGTCACCTACAAACAAGCAAGATTTCTGGCTCTCACAGACCTGTAACTTCTTCTTTAAGAGGCTCCTCTGTCCTCCACTCGTTACCTGTATTAATGGCACCTGTTTGAACTTGTTATCAGTAAAAAAGACACCTGTCATCAACCTCAAACAGTCACACTCCAAACTCCACTATGGCCAAGACCAAAGAGCTGTCAAAGGACACCAGAAACAAAATTGTAGACCTGCACCAGGCTGGGAAGACTGAATCTGCAATAGGTAAGCAGCTTGGTTTGAAGAAATCAACTGTGGGAGCAATTATTAGGAAATGGAAGACATACAAGACCACTGATAATCTCCCTCGATCTGGGGCTCCACGCAAGATCTCACCCCGTGGGGTCAAAATGATCACAAGAACGGTGAGCAAAAATCCCAGAACCACACGGGGGGACCTAGTGAATGACCTGCAGAGAGCTGGGACCAAAGTAACAAAGCCTACCATCAGTAACACACTACGCCGCCAGGGACTCAAATCCTGCAGTGCCAGACGTGTCCCCCTGCTTAAGCCAGTACATGTCCAGGCCCATCTGATGTTTGCTATAGTGCATTTGGATGATCCAGAAGAGGATTGGGAGAATGTCATATGGTCAGATGAAACCAAAATAGAACTTTTTGGTAAAAACTCAACTCGTCGTGTTTGGAGGACAAAGAATGCTGAGTTGCATCCAAAGAACACCATACCTACTGTGAAGCATGGGGGTGGAAACATCATGCTTTGGGGCTGTTTATCTGCAAAGGGACCAGGACGACTGATCCGTGTAAAGGAAAGAATGAATGGGGCCATGTATCGTGAGATTTTGAGTGAAAACCTCCTTCCATCAGCAAGGGCATTGAAGATTAAACGTGGCTGGGTCTTTCAGCATGACAATGATCCCAAACACACCGCCCGGGCAACGAAGGAGTGGCTTCGTAAGAAGCATTTCAAGGTCCTGGAGTGGCCTAGCCAGTCTCCAGATCTCAACCCCATAGAAAATCTTTGGAGGGAGTTGAAAGTCCGTGTTGCCCAGCGACAGCCCCAAAACATCACTGCTCTAGAGGAGATCTGCATGGAGGAATGGGCCAAAATACCAGCAACAGTGTGTGAAAACCTT